TGCGCAGTGAAGAAGAAAAAAACATATATAAGTCGCACTTTTTAGAGAAAATCTATTTTATAAAATCAGAGACAAGGAGCCGACATTTCATCTTGAAAGGCAAGTTCTAGTAATAACAATAGAACAGAGAACAACAGACTGAATAGGCGTTAATATGTTAACGTAACATATTAACAGTTATTCAGATAATTATAGCATAAACAACAGAACATAAGTTTACCAAATTCACGATCTCACTCCAAATCACTAAATCCATTCAATTCTTCGTCCTCGGTGTCACTTCGGCGCGACCTCCTGAGATAAACCATAGATCCACGATGTAAACGGAGCGTCTCTTCCTCTTCTGTGTCGCTGTCGTCAGACTCAGCATCAGTTCCAGTTAGAATTATTCCGGCCTTTCTGAATCCCGACAGGATGGTTTCCGTTATCATTGAAGTTCAGGCTTTGTCAATTCATGCAGTGACTTCCAGAAAAGTTGCACGGTGCACCATCTCGGTTACCGTGACGTCGTGTTCTCCATCTTCCACCAGTCCCTCACAAGTTTCTGGCTCACTCCAAACTTTCTTTCTACTGCTTGATTACCCTTTTCGGCTGCAGATTTCACAATTTGCAGCAGGACAGTGACTTTTTCTACAGGACACATGTGCAGTAGAATGTGAAGTGACAGTGGTACAGGAGTAATAGTCGTACTAGATACTGACACACGAGACTAGAGCGCCCTCTCTCTTCTGTCAATCTGAAAATTTTAATATACAAGTCGCAGGAAACACCCAAACCATGAAAAAAAGTGCAACTTATAGTCCGAAAAATACGGTAGTAATGCAGTAACATCACCATAGAGACAAACAGGCCACCACAAAAGTGACACAGTGCACCTTTAATGTCTTCTCTGTCAGCACAAATGGACTCCGGTCAAATGTTGTTGTTTTGGCTTCATAGTGTTATAGTTATTATTATTATAGAGTGGTTACATTCAAACACAAACATGATTGTTGTCAGTAGAAAGGACTTTAAGCCATAGGATTAATATGGCAATTTTTTCTATACCAAAATCATTCAGTTTGACGATTTCTTTTGAACTCTTTCAGCGCATCCTTCATAGAGTTCTACAGCCTCCTGCCCTCCACCTGAAACGATCAAACCGTTGAATGTCGTGAACGCGGCCTAAAGAAAATTAACATTATTCACAATGTTCCAGCGGCTCGATGGAACGTCACTTCACACTTAGCGAACAAAATATTTTAAAACCGACTCTGCATTTACCGATGTTCTTTTCAAAACACGTGCAATGCCTTTTTAAGAGTTACCAATGCAAAATTTGAGTATGTGATGTATTTGTGGACGAACTGTAGGGCATTATCCCTTTAAAACATGATCAATAATACATGCAGTTTAGAGCTCCATTCTGAGTGACTGTTCACCTGCGTATGAAGGTTAAAGGGCCGATATTACGCCGTTTTCTGATCTGTGTTCGTGTTTCCTCTTCACAAACACACCCGGAGTTGTGTTTTGTTTCATTCACACGTTTAACACACAAACCCTGCAGATTTAGTTCATGTTGAGCTGTTCTCTCAAACCGAAAACACTCTGTTCCACCTTGTGATGTCATTGAGTGGTGATACAGGAAGCGCTTCTCTGTGTTTTTAAACTCCGGACACCTTCACTAGAATCATTTGTGTAATTTCAGGTTTGGAATTGCCAAATTTGGAAGCTACAGCAGTTGTTTTAGGCCCCGTCCACACTAGTACGTATTCGAGTCGTTCTTTCACACTAATTCGATCGAAAACGGCTCCACAGACGGAACGATCTGGTGCCGCCAGCTCCCACGAATTCATCTGAGTACTGATCTGGACGCCTGAAAACGCTGATACGCTGATGTAGTTCTATGCGCGTGGTTAATTCACCGCCAAAACGCTAAGAGGCTAGAACAGGGGTGTCAAACTCATTTTGGTCCGGGGGCCGTATCCAACTGACGGGGAGAAAATGGATAATCAAAATGAAATCAAAATGAAACAAAATCAATTTAACAGAACACAATTTAACAATGTTTAAACTTGAAAACTGCACTCGGCTTCCACTTTTCTCATTTTTGACATTTTGTTGATGAGGGTGTCACGGTCAACAGTCAAAACGATCGTCCTTTAAGAGCGTTTGGAAAGAGACAAGTCTTCATTTGTGCTGCTCTGGTGGGAGGGGCCACGTACAGAGACGCTGATATGCTAAGCGATGCAGAAAATTACCAATATTTTAATAGAAAATAGAATTAAAATATTTTTGTAGAAAATCAGCCGAGGGCCAGATTAAAGGTCTTGGAGGGCCGCATCTGGCCCCCGGGCCGCATGTTTGACACCTGTGGGCTAGAATATCTGTCCATTCATATAAACGGTCTGTGTGTACGACCTGCAGACGTATAATCTCTGAAAAATTTAACGTAAACCATCTCCAACGCGACAGAAACACAGAACAGACTCACCATCAGCAGAACACCCTCTGTCACAGAAAGAACACATATAATCCACTGAGTCGTGTCCTTTAGTCCAACAGAAGCTGAACCGCATCAGCGCACAATACCGAGCTGTTTTTTTGAGCGTTCAGTTTACGCAAATTATCCATGCGGTTTTAAGTTTCATTTCTGTAAAACATAAACAAATATGCTCAAAGCTGTGTGGATGAGGAAGACCTGCGGACACAGAAACGACGTGTGTGGACGCAGATCGTTTCCGATACGGTGATGCGCTGATTCATTTCAGCGTAACAGGGTCTCTGTGTTTTTAAACTCCTTACACTTTCACTAGAATCAGTTGTGTCATTTCAGATCTGGAATTGCCACACTTGGAAGCTACAGTGATTGTTTTAGCCTCGTTCAAGCTTCTTCACTTCCCCTTGTCGACTTTCTGTGGCAATCTCAACAAAATCTGAACAAAAGTAAATTTAAAACCAAAATGTTTTGAAAAAAGACAACAATTTATAGTTATATTAGTGTATAGAGTTAAATTCAAATGAGGCTTAAAAACTGAACAGTACAGAAGCTCAGTTGGTTGAGCGTTTGTCCTCTGATACGAAGGTTGCCGGTTCAAATCCCGCTCTCGACGTAAACATCACTGGTAAAGCGGCCAGATCCAGCGACCCGCAGGTCGACGGCGCGATTCCAGCTCCCGCAGATCAGCGCTGTTGTTGTGTTCTTGGGCAAGACACTTAACCCACCTCACCCCCAGTTTATTTATGCGTACGCTGGTGTATGAATAAGAGTGTGATTTGAAGCGCTTTGAGTGCCTTGAAGGTGGAAAAGCGTTGTATAAAAATGTCTAAAAAAGCTCTAAAAATGACTATTTACCGTTTACCGACTACCACTTGATGACATCACAAGCTGAAACTGAGGATTTTGAGCTTTGGCGACGCAGACGGGCTAAAAATGCAGGATTACACAAACAAAACACAACTCTGAGTATGTTTTTTGAGGTAATAACAACATTTTAACGCGGCTTAAAGCTCACAAGAGTCGATTTTTTTGCGTAATGTAGGACCTTTTACACGAGTATGCACTTAAATAACGTACCGCACCACATGACGGGAGTGCGAACAGTTCTAATCTTCAAACCAAACTCGGCGGTGTTTAGCTTGACGTGTGTCTCTGGGTTTCTATTCAGACTTTGTTGAGCCTGGTTTCTACATTTTAGATAAGACTCTGTGCGGTTCAACTATGTAGATGTATTTTCGTAAACCAAACTAAAGGAAGTATTTTCTTAGCAATATTCACAGTCCTCTTAAAGGTCGTAGGTCAGAAGCGGCGGTCCGTTTTCGTCTCTTGTATGTCCTCTGTTTTGTTTGATTTTTCTTTTTTCGGTTGTGTCATTGCTCCATACATGTACCTGCCTTCATTTTTCCACGACAAAAAAAAAAAAAAAGAGAGACTCGAGTTTTGTACAAGTTTGCTTCTGCTGAAAATGCATCTCTAGCCAAGACGGACACATTTCTAGAAACCCAGAAAATAGAAAAAAGTCTGCAGCTTCGTGGCGTGCATGGCATCGGGCGAGACGGACATTTCACACAGTGCCAACGTAACTTAAGAACACGAGAGCGCTTTGTTGTTGTTTTTTTTACTGACAAACTGTCCAGCTGTCCTCTGTGTGTCTGACCCAGCCTGTGTCCAAAGGGCTGAGCGCGCCGGTGCGGGCCGTGTGCAAAGGCGGCGAGGGACGCGAGGCTCAGAGGGGTCGTCGCCGCGGTAACCTGTAGTAGTAACAGGCGTCTGGGTCCGGCGGCCATGTTGTGACTGTGACGCTCTACTCAAGAACTCACGCACACTGACGGATACTTTGCACTGACGTCACGCTGGGGGTTTTCTACGTGTGTCTCTATACATGCATCCTGGTTTTCAGACTTTCCGGTCATCGCGCAATGCACACTGGGAAGGATCGTCCGGAAAGTGAGCATCAAACCGCCATGTTTGTTTTCCCAGTGGGCAGTGTTGGGAAGGTGACTTTCCTCTACAGATTACAGATTACAACCCCCAAAATGTAGTTTGTAACGTAATCCATTAAATTACTTTAGGTGAGTAATGTAATCTGAATACTTTGGATTACTCGATTTGCTGTAGAGAAGCAAAGACCAGGATATCGTAACATAAGATGTATAAGACAATGAAAAGTCCAGACTTTACTTAAACATATTAAAAATATTATTGATAGAAGAGGAGACACGTCCACGCAGCATGGTTTAGTCCTTTTAAATCCTGGTTTTGACCTGGTTTAGACCTGGTTTTAAACCTGGTTTTAGACCTGGTTTTAGACCTGGTTTAGTCCTGGTTTAGACCTGGTTTTGGCTTTAGTCCTGGTTTAGACCTGGTTTTAGTCCTGTTTAGTCCTGGTTTAGACCTGGTTTAGACCTGGTTTAGTCCTGGTTTTAGTCCTGGTCCTGGTTTAGACCTGGTTTTAGTCCTGGTTTAGACCTGGTTTTAGTCCTGCTTTAGTCCTGCTTTAGACCTGGTTTTAGACCTGGTT